AAAAAAAAATCGGTATGTTTTCCATCGGAATTATAAAATTTTTTATATTTTAAGATTTCGGAAAAATATTAAGATTCACGCGAGCTGAACCGATTTTGAAACAACTTCAGAAATCTCATTCAGCCTTATCGCTAATTCCATGTGAATAAATCGTTCCCATTGACAGGCAAACCAAAAACAAATTGTGAAAAAGGCCGATTATTTTGATTCCATCGATAAAGTGTTCAAGTACAGACCTTTTACGCTTAAACTCTGCTTTCATCAGGGGCGACTTATTGGAAAAAATACATTTAAAAACTAATGTTATTTACATATAACAAGAACTCGATTTTTGGAAAACTGCGACTTTTTTTTTGTCTGACGCATTAACTGCCCATTTAACTAGCAATTTAAGTGAAACATGTTTTTCCCCTTTGTCAGTTTTCATAACACATTCAAATAAAAAAAAATCATTTTTCACTTAACTTAATTTTGTGAAACTAACACATCGAAAAAGATTTAGTAATTTTCAAGCAAAAAACACCGTTAAAAATAAAACCGAAATTCAGTGAACTAGCTGCGTATTAAATGTTCAAAAGCAATAAATTATAGAATGTAACTAATTAACTCACTCTCTTTTCTATAACATATGTATTATTTTACATACATATGTACATATGTACATACATATGTATAACTTACTTTTTTCAATATTGTACTGCCACCGTCATACTGCCGATTTTTGAAGATATAAAAATATACACTTTTTGACGTAAAATTTTCAACGAAGCTTGTAAACAAGGATTTAATTAGTAAAACTTTTTTAGGAAAGAATTAAAAAAAAATCAAAAAAAATATATATATTTTACTGCTATCTAATACGTGTAAATAATAGTGATATTAGGAGAGTTAAGTTAATATATACTTGAAAATGAGCGAATATGCATGTAGTATGTGCTTACCAAATTTTAAAAATTATTTAAATTTCTGTTATTTTCAATAACTAAACCATTCTTATTTTTTTTGTTTTCCAGTAGCCTTCGCTCCCACATTTTTCTAAACAAACTGTTATTTTTGGCAAAACATCGCATAAAAAAATATGTAATAACGGAGTTTAAGCAAGTAAATTAAATTGCTGATTATTTTTCTTTCAAAACAGTACAATTTATTTCATCGATTTTTAAGTGAAATGATCCGATTGTAAAAAATATGAATAAATCAAATAAAATAGAAGAAACTTGCTACGCTCATATCGACCGTAAAATAATAAAAGGGAATTAATTCAAAATTTACGTTTTTGGAGCTAAAAGGCAGAAGAGGTATTAAAAGTGTTCGCGATGCAAAGAACTTGCACAAGCTGGTAAAAGCGAACACTCTTAATGCATATTTAAGTTGAGTTCGCCAATCCATTCGCTTCGCAAGTGATAACACCGCCCTTTATTGTACAATTGCTAAGAATAATAAGGAGAATATGTTCAGTTAAACAGATAACTCTCCAAAAATGGTTTTTTTTTTTGTATACCAGCTATATGAAATGATCAAACTTTGGTTGTGTTTTCCCACATAATTAAAATTTCGAATTAACTCTTTTTATTATTTAAGGTGCGATATGTACATCTATTTAAAATAAAGTAAAATAAAATACAATTATGTACGAATTATGNTTTTTTTGTCTGACGCATTAACTGCCCATTTAACTAGCAATTTAAGTGAAACATGTTTTTCCCCTTTGTCAGTTTTCATAACACATTCAAATAAAAAAAAATCATTTTTCGCTTAACTTAATTTTGTGAAACTAACACATCGAAAAAGATTTAGTAATTTTCAAGCAAAAAACACCGTTAAAAATAAAACCGAAATTCAGTGAACTAGCTGCGTATTAAATGTTCAAAAGCAATAAATTATAGAATGTAACTAATTAACTCACTCTCTTTTCTATAACATATGTATTATTTTACATACATATGTACATATGTACATACATATGTATAACTTACTTTTTTCAATATTGTACTGCCACCGTCATACTGCCGATTTTTGAAGATATAAAAATATACACTTTTTGACGTAAAATTTTCAACGAAGCTTGTAAACAAGGATTTAATTAGTAAAACTTTTTTAGGAAAGAATTAAAAAAAAATCAAAAAAAATATATATATTTTACTGCTATCTAATACGTGTAAATAATAGTGATATTAGGAGAGTTAAGTTAATATATACTTGAAAATGAGCGAATATGCATGTAGTATGTGCTTACCAAATTTTAAAAATTATTTAAATTTCTGTTATTTTCAATAACTAAACCATTCTTATTTTTTTTGTTTTCCAGTAGCCTTCGCTCCCACATTTTTCTAAACAAACTGTTATTTTTGGCAAAACATCGCATAAAAAAATATGTAATAACGGAGTTTAAGCAAGTAAATTAAATTGCTGATTATTTTTCTTTCAAAACAGTACAATTTATTTCATCGATTTTTAAGTGAAATGATCCGATTGTAAAAAATATGAATAAATCAAATAAAATAGAAGAAACTTGCTACGCTCATATCGACCGTAAAATAATAAAAGGGAATTAATTCAAAATTTACGTTTTTGGAGCTAAAAGGCAGAAGNGCGAGCTGAACCGATTTTGAAACAACTTCAGAAATATCATTCAGCCTTATCGCTAATTCCATGTGAATGAATCGTTCCCATTGACAGGCAAACCAAAAACAAATTGCGAAAAAGGCCGATTATTTTGATTCCGTCGTTAAAGTGTTCAAGTACAGACCTTTTACGCTTAAACTCTGCTTTCATCAGGGGCGACTTATTGGAAAAAATACATTTAAAAACTAATGTTATTTACATATAACAAGAACTCGATTTTTGGAAAACTGCGACTTTTTTTTTGTCTGACGCATTAACTGCCCATTTAACTAGCAATTTAAGTGAAACATGTTTTTCCCCTTTGTCAGTTTTCATAACACATTCAAATAAAAAAAAATCATTTTTCACTTAACTTAATTTTGTGAAACTAACACATCGAAAAAGATTTAGTCATTTTCAAGCAAAAAACGCCGTTAAAAATAAAACCGAAATTCAATGAACTAGCTGCGTATTAAATGTTCAAAAGCAATAAATTATAGAATGTAAACAACTAATTAACTCACTCTCTTTTCTATAACATATGTATTATTTTACATACATATGTACATATGTACATACATATGTAGTATGTATAACTTTCGGATAACTGTCGGAAACAACAACAACCAAAAAGGAAATATGTATAACTTTCTTTTTTCAATATTGTACTGCCACTGTCATATTGCCGATTTTTGAAGATATAAAAATATACCCTTTTCGATGTAAAATTTTCAACGAAGCTTGAAAATATGGATTTAATTAGTAAAACTTTTTTAGGAAAGAATTAAAAAAAATCAAAAAAAATATATATATATTTTACTGCTATCTAGTACGTGTAAATAATAGTGATATTAGGAGAGTTAAGTTAATAAATATGCGAAATACAAAAAACAATATATACTTGAAAATGAGCGAATATGCATGTATGTGCTTACCAAATTTTAAAAATTATTTAAATTTCTGTTATTTTCAATAACTAAACCATTTTTTTTTTTGTTTTTCAGTAGCCTTCGCTCCCACATTTTTCTAAACATATTGTTATTTTTGGCAAAACATCGCATACAAAAATATGTAATAACGCAGTTTAAGTAAGTAAATTAAATTGCCGATTATTTTTCTTTCAAAACAGTACAATTTATTTCATCGATTTTTAAGTGAAATGATCCGATTGTAAAAAAATATGAATAAATCAAATAAAATAGAAGAAACTCGCTACGCTCATATCGACCGTATAATAATAAAAGGGAATTAATTCAAAATTTACGTTTTTGGAGCTTTTGGGTGGTATTATCACTTGCGAAGCGAACGGTTTGGCGAAGCGAATTAAAAGGCAGAAGAGGTATTAAAAGTGTTCGCGATGCAAAGAACTTGCACAAGCTGGTAAAAGCGAACACTCTTAATGCATATTTAAGTTGAGTTCGCCAATCCATTCGCTTCGCAAGTGATAACACCGCCCTTTATTGTACAATTGCTAAGAATAATAAGGAGAATATGTTCAGTTAAACAGATAACTCTCCAAAAATGGTTTTTTTTTTTGTATACCAGCTATATGAAATGATCAAACTTTGGTTGTGTTTTCCCACATAATTAAAATTTCGAATTAACTCTTTTTATTATTTAAGGTGCGATATGTACATCTATTTAAAATAAAGTAAAATAAAATACAATTATGTACGAATTATGTAAGAAATAAAAATTTATATATATCTAAACTAAGCTACTATTGTACTCTAGTTCATAGATTCACTCACATTTTATGTAATATAAAAGGCAAATAATATACAATAAACTTCAACATTTAAGTAAATAAAGTGTCTGTATTTTATTTTATAGTTATGTATATACTATGTATGTAAAAGGGAAAGTTAAAAAGGACCCACGCTGCCTAAATACGTTTTCGAGAAAAACGATTTCAAAGCTAACAAGTGGATTTGATATGTAAGCTTTTTTCATTATGCCCATCTTTTAAGTGAATTTGTGGGAAAACAAATGCAGCTAATGCGAAATGCTACGGTGTATGTCACATACATACATACTTATGTATGCAGAAATATATATCATATACAGAATTATTTCAAAATTTAAACATATCCTCCTTATCTCGCTTATTAACTGTATGATGAAACTACACAAATTGAATTTTGAATTACATCTCTAATATTCTTAAATGTGCGATATCTTGTCGCCAATAAAAATAAAATTACCAAAATCTGGTTATACCACCACTTTGACAATTTTATTGTGTACAGCACAATTTCACAAAATTTAAAAGCAGTATAAACAGTATATTTTACTTTTAATTCAATTCAAGTTTACCAAATATACATAGATACATTAATTGTAATCAAGTATGAACAATAGAAAATACCTATTTCTATAAAAAATNTACAGCACAATTTCACAAAATTTAAAAGCAGTATAAACAGTATATTTTACCTTTAATTCAATTCAAGTTTACCAAATATACATAGATACATTAATTGTAATCAAGTATGAACAATAGAAAATACCTATTTCTATAAAAAAAAAAATAAAATCATTTTAGTTTGTTACAAATAAATTAATTTTAAAATAAGAAACTTCCGCACGCGCTGTTCTAACACGCCCACACACCACCATACTCAACGCACTAGCGAAAATATTTCATGACATGCTGATGCGTGTCTCTGGCGGCGGTGGTGGTGGTGCTGTATTTAGCGCAGGCATTCGGAGTGCGTGGGGTCGTACCTACTTGCATACCTTCGTGGGTATAATTTTGTTGCTTGGGTTGCCCGTAGCGCCCGTTTGAGCTCAATACGGGCGCCTGCTTCAGCTGCCGCTCTACTTGCGGTAACTGTGCTAATTTCTCTCTTACCACAAATGGCAGATCGTCTTGCGTGCTAAAGTGCGTGGACAAACCACTCGTTTGTGTGAAAGTGATGCCACCACCTTGGTTAGCAGGTATCACGGAGACATGAGCTCCATCTGGGTATTGTATTTGTATAATACCATGCGATAGCTTGTGTGAGTGGAAAAAGAAAGGTTAAAATTCAAATTTTAGTACTGTGTGGTCATGGTTGTACTCACCTCTGTGGCGATACCGATTCCGGGTATATTTATTTTTCGTATCGGTACATTGGGTTGTGCTGCCATTATTTGCTCTTGTTGCTGCTGCTGTTGCAAACCCATTGATTGTTGCGATGATGCATTGCTAAAGTTGCTGCCGCTGCGTAATCCTAAAGACATAGTGTCAATTGAGAAGTTGATGCTGCCCTAAACAAGCAAAAATAAAAAAGTTAAACTGTACACAAATTCTTTCCACGTAAGCCACTGTCAAAGTAAATGGCACTCCAAGCCATTAGCTAATAAATGTTTTTACCAAATCCACTCCAGCACCCACCTGTTGCGACCTTGGCGTTAGGTAAATCAAATTCGTTGTGTCCCGCATTGCAGTTGTGATACACTGTCCTTGCATAACGTCCAATTCACTGGGTCGCCTACCTACCACAGCTGGGAAACAACAATTTCCACTTGTCTGTACCAGCTGCAATGCACTACAAATCGCCTGACAATGCTTCAGGCATTCTTCTTGGTGCTGCAATAAATTGCATGCCACTGATTCTTCGTGATTTTGCAACAGACGCCCATGTTTATCATAGACGCGTAAACCCTGTGTCGGCGATTTTGTCACCTTGGCGCCAGTATAGAAAAATACCTCAAAATCTTCCATACTCTCCATCAGATGGCACTTTGCTTGTGCGCTAAAAAATGTTACTTTGGGGGTTTTTGCTTTAACCAAATTAACAAATCTCGAAGCATAGATGTACTTCTTCCAATGTTTGCTGGGTAAATTGTCGTATGTGTAAACAGTTGACGAATCGCCTGTTAACATAGCTGGCGGTTCTTCACTTATTGGAAGGCCTCTACAAAAAAAGTATTTAAATTAAATAAATATATGTAACCTGTTTACATCCTTACCTTCCCGGATCTGGCTGGTAAATTGTAATACGCAAGCCATTTTGTGAAATCCAGCATACATCGGTTATGCGCTCTTCGCGTAAACGACTTTTATACTTTATGAATTCTATGGCCACTTCACCCCCCGATAGAATACTCATAATTGCATTTTTAGTTTTGTACCGTGTCGGTAAAAGACGGTCAGTATTCAATGGTGGCACGCTCAAACGCTCTTCTGTGTTTTTTTGCTCTGGAATTTCTCCGACATTAGAATAACGTACCAATTTTTCCCGTCCCCCCGGATGTTTTGCATTTTGCGGAAGATAGTCAGTGCCACCAGTCGTAAAATTAGTTTCATTGTTCTCAACTACTGGCTTTGGGAGAGGAAAATGATTAGTTATAGAATAGTTCGGAGTTGACGGCAAATTCTTGTATTTAGACGAGCCATTAGACTGCCAATCAAGTTCCATGCTATCACTTTGAGGTGTTGATGTATGAACTGGACGTGGTTCATGTGGTTCCATGAAACCACTACCCAAGGAATTGTAAGAATGTGCTGCTTTGAGTGGCGTAAAATCTGCTTGATATTGATGTTGTGGATGATGTTCATGTATGCGTTCCAGAGCGCCACGTGTGGGATACTTTTCCATCGAACGTGAACGTTGAAGTGCAGCTGTACGAGATGAACTGGAGTTACTGCTGGCAAAGGTTATAATACCGCTGTCACAGCTCGCAGCACTTTGCTGGTGCTGGTAATATTTCTGTTGATTTGTTGATATGCAGTTGTTATTTTGAATTTTGTTACTATCAGCAGCTGAACCGGCAGCTGTGCCATACCGTTGTTCACGACATACCATGAATGGGTGTTGCAGCACTTGTTCCAGTGTTATTCGCTCACTCGGATTTTTCTTTAATAAACGTTCAATTAGATCCTGTGCATCGTACGATAGATGTTGGGGCATTTGAAAATCTGATTTTACTACTTTTGTAAGTGTGGACTGCACAGCATCAGTGTCAAAGGGTGGATGACCCGCTAATAATGTGTAGAACATACAACCGAGGCCCCACACATCCGCGGGCAGACCATGTGTTGCTCGGGTTACCACCTCTGGAGATATATAATTGGGTGTGCCTGCATTAAACGTAAAACATTTAGTCTGAATTATTTGGGATCTATATTCGGTTACTTACCACACATAGTCATGTGCTTCTCATCTGGCCTCTTTAACTGAGTTGCTAATCCAAAATCGGCGATTTTAACATGCATATCCTTACTGAGCAATAAATTCGATAGGGATATGTCTCGGTGCATTATCTGATGGGAATGCAAATATAGCAAACCGGAGACAACCTGTCGCAATATACTGGCCGCTTCCTCTTCTGTCATGGATCGCCCCATCTGTTGTTTCATGTAACGATTCAATTCACCATTATGCGCCAACTCCAATACTAAATATACATAATTTTCATCTTGAAAGAATGTGTACAGCTCCAAAACAGAGGGATGTTTAAGACGCGAGTGTATTTCCACTTCCTGCCGCACACGATTGGCTAATCCAGCACGCTGTATAAGCTGTTTGTCAATCTAAAATCCCTTATCCGTGTTAGCAAGTTCAAAACCATTTATTTATTTATATTTACCATTTTGATAGCCACCATTTCGTTTGTACGCGTAGAACGCGCCTTATACACACTGGCGAAGCCACCTTTACCAAGTAAATGGAGCACTTCATAGTCCTAAATGAAAAAATCGTAATCAAAAATTTAGCGTCACTTGAATAAGACCTTAAATTTTGCACAAATTCCAACGCACACCTCAATACTTTCGCCTAGTCCAATGTGTGTAGACATTATTGATATACTTTTATTCATCCACAATCAATAAGTCTTTAATTTCTGCTAAGCTTTAAAAATGGCAAGGATTATTTCACGCTGACAATTTGTAAATAAATACCGATCCCACACCTGCCAGCGTCCTTTGGCATTTTTTTCTTTCTTTTAAATTCGAATGTCAACGTCAGAAAGAGCTTGTGCGCACTAAACACATCTTTGTCAAATAAGTCAAAATTCGATTGGGACTTGCATGACAGGACAGCATGTCACGAGAATTTCAATTAATGAATGTACTTATGAGTTATTTATTAATCAGCTTAACTTTCATTATCTAAATATTAAATAAAAGATGCATTAAAGAGCAGCAAAGATACATTTTGGTACACTCAACTATACAAATTCATGTTCATGTAGCACCCCAGCGTCTTGGTGGGGTTACACGATCAAGACCTTGATTTCAAGTTGATCATGCATACTGTTTGTAAAAATTCATTTCAATTGACAGCTGTGACGTAAGGTGCAAGCAATTAATAGTCAAATTTACTTTCAAGATGCAGTCGTCAAGGAAACAACTTAAAATTTTCGCCTCGTTCCCGTATACATATAAATACCTGCAGAAATATCTTCCCGGCTATTTTTGACTAAATCCCCAACTACGGGAACAGACTAACAGTGATCAGCTGATTGACTTCATTTTAAAGTTACCTCATGAGTCGAAAGGAAAAATTGAAGACGACGCTCAAGTCGTAAAAGTGAAAAGTTGTTAGTAATAAGGTATTGCAACTTGCTTTCAAGCTATTGATCGTGTAACGTCGTAGTAAGCGATTCCGGTAGAGCATTTTAGTAACAAACGAATATGCTAATCTGCGGGAAAATAGATACATCTTAACACATAATGAATACAATTGCGAGCAGTCAAAAATTTAGTGTGGAGACGTTAGGTTAGTGGAACATAGTTTTCTCTATTTGACACTTGTCAGTGTTGCTCTGCTTCTTCAAAAAACTACAGGGCAAAAAGTGACGATAAATTTTTGGAAAAAATTGGAAGCACATAAAAAAGATTTCGCTGTCGTAATCGCAATCGCTCTGTGGCGCTGCTGAGAAAAAATTTTCCACTTTATTCTGCTTCCATAATTTGATTGCCATTTTTATAGAATTAGTATGCGAATATGATCATTTGTAACTTTGAATATGAAGCTATTAAGCCCCAAAAATTAGATATAAATTAAACTGAAATAAGGAACTATTTTTGCACACAAGCTCGTCAAATTTTTCCTTTGGGAAAATTATTGGAAGCAAATAAAATCGAACGGGAATACTATACCAGTGGAGCGCAAGGCGCCCTTCGCACGCCTTCGCCACATACAAACATACATGCGATAACACCACGTATTGCACATACTGGCAAACCTATTTTTACTGGAGCTGTCTGTGCATTGGCCAGGTTAGTTTTCCAAAGCTGTTACCAAATTGTTTAATTGCGGTGAAAGTGTGTGAAATGACAAGTGTTTTATAATAAAGAAACCCCAGGTAGTTTGTAAAAAATGTCAAACAAACCAAGTGCAGCGAAAGACGACATCCAATAAGTGGACAAGCGGGTCAAATGGTCAAACCGCAGGTCGAAAAAAATTTATTCGACAATATTTACCGTGAATTTCATCTTAATTCATCTGAAAATTCTTAAATTGAAAAAAAAACTGGTTAAACTTTCCGATTTTGTGAAACTTTTGCTGCTGTGCCAAATCATGCCTGGACGATTTCTACTGTCACTCAGATTAAACATCAGGGATGTTATCGGGTAAGCTTGCTTGAGATGATGATTAGTTTATATATAGTTTTAATTAAATTTGCAAAATTTATGTATAAGTTTATTGTTAAATACCTATGCATGTATCTAGGTAATTGTATTTAGTTTTCCATTGCCTTTTTTTGAGGTCTAAATATACGTTTTTAATTGGATTCATGATTTTTGTTGCAATATTGCTTTTGCTCTTCTTGACATTTCTCAGTGTTGCTCTATTTCTTTTGGCAGCTAACCTCAAAAAACACAGGGCAAAAAGTGACAAATGATAAATTTTATTTCTATTACCGTGTTGTTGTTGCTGCGTGTAGTTCATCGGGGCGACATCGTTGACGGCGAAGCTTGCAGAAAATTTCACAAACTGTAAAAAATAAGGAAAATAATTTACAAATTGTATCCTAGTTCCTCGTTTTGCATGGAACCGATATGACATAAAAAGCTAAGATGTGATTTAAAGTTGGTAATATATCAATGAAAAAAGAGAAAAGGTCAAAGCTTAATTACATGCGTCTTGTCTTTGCTATTGCCAAAAAGAAGTGAAATATTACAGCCAACAATCCAAAAGCAGAAATTATTGTACTTAAATTCAATTACTTCGTTTAATTCAAAGGATCGTAGTAGCACAGGTGCGTGTTCGTGAGTAAATCGTTTTTGGCTCCAGGAGCTATGGAGAAAGATCGGGGTGGTTGCGGCAGCAGTGGCAGCACGCGCTACGTCAGTGCAGGCGATCGCAGCAGCGCCATTGGCGGAACTTCACATGCTCTCATGACCAGTGAATATGATGGTTTATTGAAAAAGCACAAGAAGTCTAAAAAGAAAAAAAGTAAACATTCACGCTCGCGTGAAAATTCTCTGACGCGTCATATGCGACGTAGCCGTAGCAGCAGCAGCCCATCACCACGAAGTCGATCCGTCGCCACCACTGCCGATGATGGCGCTGAGGGCGATGGAAGTTTGACAATTAAACAACCATCGAAAAAAACACATGCCTTGAATGCCATTGTAGAATACTCAGACGTAAGTTCGGAAGATTTCTCAGATCCAGAAGCTGGGGAACTCAATACAGAGTCTAATGAAATAACAAGAAAGCAAAGAGTTGAAGCTTCGAATTCTAATATAGGCAAGGATATGAGAACGACGCATCTGCCGCCACCGAATCCCCCAAAGGGCGATCAACAACTTCATAATATGAGCAGTGACGATGATACCTTTAGGTAAGTAAAGGGGATCTTAAAATAAAGAATTCCTATAAATTGAGGCACAAGTTGGTGTAGAAACGCAAATCTATAAATTTGTACTGGTGGCCAGTAAAGTCCCTTTAAACTAAAAATTTATCATTTTCTTCACAGGCGAAAACGCAATGAGAGTCTTGATAATCTCTCCAATCTATCACCAAATCGGGTACGTCGCATAATTCTTGGTTCACCAGTGCGCGGATCAAAAACTACCAGTGGCGCTACGACAACAAGCAGCTCTGTCAATGCCAAAGGTGACAAGGCTTTGGCTTCAGTCTCCAATGACTCGAAAGCAGCATTGTCTTCTCGTCATCTGGTGGATGAAAGTAATCCGTCAACAAAGAAACAAAAAAAGAATAGTGTGAACAGCGGCAGCAGCAAAATACTGGATGAAGAGGTATCTGACTGGGAAGCGGCATTGGCTAGTAGTGACTCCATGGACACAGATGAATTTGAAGCTGAATTAAAGAGACAAAAGCGTAAAAAAGCCAAAAAAGACAAAAAACACAAAAGAAGCAAGAAATCGAAAAAACGACGAAAGAAGCGGGCGCGATCTTATTCCAGCATCGAGTCTATTTCCGACAATGATTTGGATGCTGTTATAGCAGCTGAGAGTGTACGCCACTATACTCCTTCTCCAAAAATACATCGTGCACATGAAAAGATTGTCGGCAACAGTGCAATCAAAAGTCCAGATCGTAATACCGGTGGTAGTGGTGTCGGTTCATCGTACACGCCCATTAAAGAAGTCAGTCCCATGTCGATAGATACGCCGCCAATACGTCCCGGAAGCAGTAATAGTTATTACGCTGAAAAGACCGCTGTAGGTATTTCAACAGCAGCGATAGCAAAAGGTTCTGGTGCCACTGCTGCAGCAGCAGCATCTGGTCTACAAGTCACAGTCAGTAATCAGCGTCACCGCACGCCTCCGCGTAATAGCGCTAAAACACGTTTTCCAGCTGCAACATCGCCGCATACTCCTCCGCTGTATGTCAGCGGCAGTGCCGAACGAGGACAAACCACTCGTGGCTCACGTTATGCTCTCAGTCCTCCAAAAGAAGAACATCTCTCAGCACATCATCATCATCATCGCAATGCTGGCGCAAGTGGTGTGTCCGGTCATCATTATAGTGCGCGCGGAGGCAGTGGAATGGATGTACATAAATATAAGGCTGTATCACCAGGTGATTACAAGTTGACATTTCTTTTTTTACGCTGCAAAAACTTCAAACTTATTTTCGCCAATGTTTTAGATCGCTATCATCATCATCAGCAAGCCACACCTCCACATAAACGCAGAAAAGCTTTTGATAGTCGCACGGCTGCGTACGAAACACACCACACACGTCACTATAGTTCCAATACGCATAGTTTACGTAAAGCACATGACTATGAACGCTTTGGCAGCAGTAGTAGGGACAAATATGGAAGACGTTATTCAAGGTAATACCTTTGAAATATTTAACTGCGATGATATGATTTAGTGTGTTCTAAATATAATTAAACATTTTTATGTTTTGTTCCCTAGGAGTCCAAGTATGTTGAACGTACGCAGCAAACAATCCCCCGCGTATACCGCAGCATCATCATCAGCATACCGCAGCACCGGTGCTACTAGCAGCAGTTATCGCCACAACAGCAGCAAATATATTCAAGAGGCATCCACTTCGCCAGATCGCTCACGATCGTCAAAACGCGGAACTGGTACAGACCGTTATTCGCGGTCGCGGTCACCGCGCTCCTTAACGCGACACTATGATTCACCACCTTCGCCAGTTTCTGCATCGGCTATCAGCGCCCGCTCATCGCACCGGCGTTACCGTTCCTCATCGCGTAGTCACCGTCGTCGCGAAGGCAGTAAGCGGTCTTACACCCGGTCACGCAGTCGATCACGTTCGCGTTCGCGATCCCGTTCACCTTCATCGTCACCCACCTCACGTGATTTGAAGCTCAAGCGTATTGAATATAGTAAAAAGATTAGCGATACCAGTCTGTTTGCTGAATTGGTTAAAGACAAGCACAAGCGTCAAAAGGCGATAGATGTGAGTGCCCGAAACGGTGGAGAATCCCATTGGCTCATACTTTAACTCTATTTTTCTATTATTTCATAGGCTCTGTTGGAGCGTCAAGAGGAGAACAGTAACAGCAATAGTGCGCTCATAATAAACGAGAATAGTTCGTCTATAGATAGCGGCACGTCGAAGGTCATCGCACATTCAGACCTTACGTCATCCACCTCTGACAGCACCATTGCAAAGACCGGCACATCCGCCTCAATCCCAGCCCCTAATATTGTATCAGCACCCAATGGCGTGAGCAGTGGTAGCAAACCGCTTGTAGAAGTAACTAACATTCCCATGCCGAAAATGATGGAAGAGAAGGCCATCGACACGGACGCCACGACTAGTGAAACCGCAAAGATTACTGAAACCAAAGTTACCGCAATAGATGATACAGATCGTCAATCTGTAGCCCCACCCCCGTCAATCAAGATAAAACCAAAAAGTCTTACTGCGTTACCCATGCCACCGGGCATCAGCGCGGCTGACTTAGCCATTGCAACAACACCTTCTCCGCCCTCAGAGTACGCCAGCTCAACTGCTTCTCCAGCTAAGAAAGCAAGAAGCAACAGCATCTCCGCCGCCACTACACCTACGCCAACAACACCTGCTACAAACTCCAATGCCAATAAAAGCTTGCTCAACTTGCCAATGCCGCCAATGGTGCCGGGCGGGGAAGAGCTAAGTGGCGATGAAGATGATGTTATAAATAGCCCGGAAGATTTCGATACAGCGAATACCAGCGCGAGTGCGGTGAAAGGTGGCAGGGATAGCGCGTCAATCGATGGCACAGCGGGTAATGGCAAAATGTCTAGTAGCAACAAAAGCGGCGCTAATGCAACATCCTCAAAACGCAAGCGGCCTGTCATATTAAATCGTCGCGATTCACGCAATCAGGTGCGCGATTGGGGCGAACGATGTGTAGACGTTTTTGTAATGATAGCACAAATAGGCGAAGGCACCTATGGGCAGGTAGATACAAAAAAAAAGGCAGTTGTTTTTAAACGTATATTATCATATTTCATTTTCAGGTATATAAAGCGCGTGATAATCATACAGACGAATTAGTTGCGCTAAAGAAAGTACGTTTGGAGCATGAAAAGGAAGGCTTTCCTATCACAGCTGTCCGGGAAATTAAAATATTACGGCAGCTAAATCATCGTAATATTGTTAACTTACATGAAATAGTCACCGACAAGCAAGATGCTTTAGAATTCCGCAAAGATAAAGGCTCATTTTATTTGGTCTTCGAGTATATGGATCATGATTTGATGGGCTTGCTAGAATCAGGCATGGTCGATTTCAATGAAGAGAATAATGCGAGTATTATGAAGCAACTGATGGATGGCCTCAATTACTGCCATAAAAAGAATTTTTTACATCGTGATATCAAATGTTCAAATATTTTAATGAACAACAAGTAAGTGGCACTAGCGTACAACTATTTAAATTTAAAAATAAATCATTCATTTTGCAGAGGACAAGTAAAACTCGCCGATTTCGGTTTGGCACGACTCTACAATGCCGAGGATCGTGAACGACCTTACACTAATAAAGTGATAACACTGTGGTATCGTCCACCCGAGCTTCTACTCGGCGAAGAACGTTATGGGCCAGCTATCGATGTATGGTCATGTGGTTGTATACTTGGAGAGTTATTTGTCAAACGACCACTGTTCCAAGCTAATGCAGAAATGCCACAACTGGAGACGATTTCCCGTGTGTGTGGCACGCCAGTGCCGGCTGTTTGGCCCAATGTTATCAAACTACCACTCTTCCACACATTCAAACCAAAACGTCAGCATAGGCGACGATTACGTGAGGATTTTGAATTCATGCCGCTGCCGGCTTTGGATTTGCTTGATCGTATGCTGGAATTGGATCCGGATCGTCGTATTACCGCTGAAGAAGCACTTAAATCACCTTGGCTCGTGAATATAAATCCTGATGAGTAAGTTTAGGAAAAATGCAGGTTTATAATTGTAGGTACCGAAAACGTGTACAAACAATTTAAATTTGGAAGGAAATGCATAAGAGAACAATATCTGGCAAAAGCACGGATTTTAATTAAAATATCACTTGTCACTTGTTGCAATGATACATGAGTATACCCTGTTATAATAATAAACGTTTTCCTTTCGCAGGATGGCTATACCACGGCTACCTACTTGGCAAGATTGTCACGAGTTGTGGAGCAAGAAGTTGCGTCGCCAAAAGCGCGAACAAGGTGAAGCAGGACCGCTGTGAGAATATATCTATCCGATGGTGGAGACACCAGTCATGGACACAACGGCCCAGCGGTTGACTGACGCCGACGGTGATAATGCTGGCGGCACAACATCAAACAACACACAACAATTGTTTATATAGTAGTGTGACACAACAATAACTGCAATATGAAATAGAAAAGGCATTGCATTGGGCAATTGCAAGAGAATGTGACGACATAACCATCTACAAAACGAACAAACTTGCATTTAAGAGTTTCATTTTATATGTAAAATGGGTGGTTAAATGTTTGGGCAGTATTTATTGTTGTTGCGTGGTTGTAGAGTGAAAAAGTGTTGAAAGCTTAGCAATTACACTTACAAACTTTATATTTAGTATTTTTAATTGTATCACAACATTTAAGTTTTTTTTTATAATTACTATAACTTACTATTAATATGTTATCATCATATTATTAATGGCATCGAGTTAAAGCGTAAACTAAATTATAGTTAGTTTTAGAGAATCGAGAAGAATAAAAAAAAATATATAAATATAGATAAGGAAACCTTAAAACTTTGTAAACCAATTACAAAAAAGAAAAATAGAAAAAAATATAAATGGAAAGTAAATCACTTTCATTACAATTAAGTACACATGACTAAATGCATAATTCGTTTAATAGTTTTGGGTGCGTTTCTTTTCCGTACATTTAAGCGCAAACTGACTTTGAAGCAAAAATTCTTTGAAAAAAGGAAATTTGTATGCAGTAAGCACTTATGCTCGCAAACAACTGTAATAACAAATTGATTTTATAAAGCTTTAGGTCAAGAAAATTACTCTTAAAACAACAACAACAACAAGACCTATTTGAAAGAACTGATAGATGGCTGGAATGTAATTTTGTTTGCAAGCATAATTGAATTGATAAATTAATGTACTATAAAATAAATATAAAATTGAGACATTTGTAAAAAGTTTACAGCTGCATGATTTTCATGTGAGGAAAATTTTATACGAAAAAGTGAATACTTTTTCTTCATTTTCTTCTCCATACGTAATGAAAATTATATTCAGTTGGTGTTAAAAGTTAGTTGTATAAAATTGCTTAAATACATAAATATGTATAATGAATGCTCTAATATAAAATATATCGATGTATATATTTAGGTGCATATCCGTACAGCAATTCATTTTCGTAAGTTCATGCTTATAATGGAAACATGTACATACATAAACAAACAAATATTGTTTTTATAAAATCATTATAAACGAATGTTGCTGCTGTAACCGAGAATCATGAATAAAAAGCAACAGTTCGTACTTTATTAGTCAATAAAAACAAAAAAATTTACAAAAAATAATCAAGAAAAACTTATATTTTTCAGAAGGTTTGTATATATTGTGTATGTATGAGGAAAATGTATGATTTCTCTAAATTCTTGCATTTCCGAACTGTTTATATTAAACTGAAAATTTTAAAAGCCTGTAAAAAAAATTGAATTTTTATCAGAACTATTTGCAGCTTGTTTCTTGCTTTAGTACATTTTAGACATACTCTATGGCTCGCATCAAATTAGCGGCAGCCAACTGCTCGTTGCACTTCTTTCTATAAAATTGACGTTAAAATTGTCACCGTTTTGTAGCATATTTATATTGGTGTTCAATATTGTTCGAAGTGGTTTCTTACAAATTTTACATCAACAGCATTAAAAGATTGTATTAGTTGATATACTTTGCAAGATATATGTATACATCAAATTCTATAAAATTTAATTTTTTGTAAAAATGTTGGTTTTTTATATTTTTATAAGTTATAAACTATAATTACGTACATATGTATATGCGTCACTAAGCGGCGAAGTTAAATAATAGCAATACTTAATGAAAAATTTAAACTGTTCAATCCTTCATAGTTTCTATTTTTATAAATAAGAACCAGAATAGGCATATGTACAGCCTTTTTTTATTACCTTCCTTTTATTAGCTCGGAATGTAACTATGTAATATTGATGCGCCTAAAAGATGCAGCGATTGCTATTCTCAAGTTACATACCTGATGACAGTACGAATGGCAATTATAGGGAGGTCTCAGTTTTTTAAACTATAGTTTTATTGTGTATGAATGTGAACCGCAGTAGCAATTTTATAACTAATAAAATGTAAACCGAAAATTTAAACTAGTTAATGCATTGAGCAAAATGAAAATAATAAAAATGCACAATATATAATACTATTATATTGCATTAAGTGAAAAAATAGATCACATGTCGGAATGAAAATGAGATAATTAAAAAACATTATAAAACTTAATGTGTGCATGTGAGACTGAATATAACAAATCAAAAAAAAAAAACTAAATATATAAATAAAAACATAAATAACTACAAAACCGAATCACAAAATTGGCTACTTGCTTCTGTCTAAATGTTATACATACATATTACAGGCATTAATAAATGAAATTATGTAAATTAAATTTAAAATAGTAATAGTAATAATGTATACATACTATGTAGTTGTATGAAATGTATAATAACCTCACCAATATACGAGTACGTAAACTTAACCGCTTAAATAACTACATACATGATTATGGTTTGTTAAATTAAATAATACACAAAACTTATCATTTTTGAAATTTCTAATTTTGTGTTTTTGTGACGACGTAGACGACGCAGAGAAGAAACAAATAAATATGCAGATATTAATATAGAAGCGTGTATCTTTAAATAATAATTAAGTAGTGGTAAGGTGNGTTAAATTAAATAATACACAAAACTTATCATTTTTGAAATTTCTAATTTTATGTGTTTTTGTGACGACGTAGACGACGCAGAGAAGAAACAAATAAATATGCAGATATTAATATAGAAAGAAGCGTGTATCTTTAAATAATAATTAAGTAGTGGTAAGGTTCTCGGCTGATTGGCATTTGTTAATAGGAAATTTTGGGGATCCGGAACTGATTCAACTGATGTGGAAACAGTTGACAGAAAGTTTGATTAATTTGGAAGATCGGTGACCAGTTCTTCATAGAGGAAACTCGGTCAAGGAGCGTTAACTCAGCAAAGCAGAAAAAGTGGAAAGTCGATTTGGGTACAAAGTGCAAGTGAAAACACAACATATAACTTGAATGAATTTCGTTAGGTTTTTCCATACTTTTTGTATTTAATTCTTACCGTATATCAATCAGAATGTATTGAATTAGTAGATTCATTGTGTTCCAACCCTCATTTAAAGCTTTGGTTGAGCGTTAGGGGTTTTTTTTTTTTTTAAATTCACACTGGCACCTAAACTGCGTTTGGCATCAAAAATGGGCTACCGGAACCGGTTAAAGTGTGTTTGCATTGTTCAACTTTGCATTCAACTCAGTGCAGGGTTGCACGAAAAGAAATTGAATCGTTAACAAGTAATTTTTAGCAAAAAAAAAACGACTTCAACTCATAAAAAAAAATATATATATATATCTCATGATCCGCTGATCGGATCTTAACCAGATTAGTATGGGACCACCTCTGAGACACTACCTTTCCGATGCAAAAAGAATTATCGAAATCGGTTGACGTGGTCCAAAGTTATGCGGTAACATACATAAAAAAAAAAAAAAGATTCCTACGAACTGATAACCTCCTCCTTTTTTTGGAAGTCGGTTAAAAATATCAAAATATTCGCCATAAAACGGAGTTTGCATTGTTTAACTTTGCATTCAACTTTTGGTTTAATGGCCTTTCAACTAATCGCTTTCAACCAAGTTGGTCGCAAGACAACATTTATCCCTTCAACTTTTTTTCGTGCAACCCTGCGCTGAGTTGAATGCAAAGTTGAACAATGCACATGATGCAATAATAGGTGCGTTCGTTTAAAATCTCCAACAGAAACCAACCAACTGCCAAATTCCGGCGAAATGTCATCTGTTCTCTCACAAGAGAGAAATATCCAAAATAGTACGCGAACAGAAAATTTGCAGAAACTTGCAAGTTNGTAAATGCCAACCAGCTGTTTTTGATCAGCTGTTTTCCTGTTGGCAAATTGCTGTTGGCAAAAATTTTTCCAGCAGAAACCAGCAGCTTCCCCTCAAAATGAAATGTCACTTTGCTCTCTCAATTTCCCCTACTTTGCAAGTTTTTTGCGTACGCGAACGCAAAAACTTGTAAGTTTTGGTTAAACATGAACAATTAACAGCTACGCGAACGAACCTAATACAAGGTGGTATCAGTTTTGACAGCTAGATTTGACATTGCCTTAGCTCAGTAGAATAAGAAGAAAAACGGGAAGAAATGAATCCCCGTTTGGGAGAGAAATATAAAATTTCATTTTTTCTTCTAAACAGAATTTGCTTTTTATAGTATATTCGCACTGAAATGAAATAAAATTAGATATAATTCCTTTCTGAGAAAACAAAATTTGTATACTGAGAAAAAAATCAACTATATTATTAGGCAAATAATTGTTAAAGAAGTAACACTGTTTGACCTAAGGCAGTCAAAATAGCGGAATTAGAACGACAAGTTGCCAACCGATAACACCTTGTATTATTCCCTACAAGAATTGTGTGATGGAAACTAACACATTCTCATTTATCTTACTAACACATTTGCAAATTTTGCGTTGGCTAAAAAGAGACCATAATTTGGAGGAAGACGGAAGATCACATGTACACAAATGTTTACATCAGATTTTTCACACTGCCCTTTAGAATTTGATAGAAACTTGTAGGTAGCCAGTGACAGAAATCTCTATCAGTGTTGCGACTCAAATGATTTGTCAAATGATAGTCACTGTTCTTGCAGGGTTGTATCATGAACAATGCAAACACTGCTTTCGGCCCTGTCACACGGTCAGTATTTATTCACGTGATTCAAGTATCGCGATATTTATTGACGGTGTAGCATGCAGTATTATGGGCCCTGTCACACGGTCTGGTGGTTGAGGGAGCTTTGAAATGTAAAACTTTGTTTCCCCGGATAAAGCAGTGGGACCACTCTCCACACCTTCCAGATGTCTGGGAGGATGATGAGAGTGGCCATTGACAAATTGAGGACCTCCGTTAGGTACGCTACTCCCGCAGGACCCAAATTTTTCAGCATCAGCATGCATATTCCGTCGGGACCTATGGCTTTGGAGGCTTTCGCCTTTCCGATGGGCACCTGAACTTCACCGCAAGTGAAAGCAAGGGGGGCACAAGTTGTTAGCAGTTTGTCACTCGACGCTTAGCTTTGTCCACCGAAGGATGCAGTATGAACTGCCGGCTAAAATAGCTCGCGCATCGCTCCGGGTCGGACGAAACATGGTCGCGGAAAAAAAATTCGACTCTGCCGTCGTGCTCCGTCGGTTTGGACAGTGACCTTGCGGTTGACCAAAGCTTACTCACACCAGAAGTGAAGTTACAGGTCTTCAGATGCTCTTCCCACTTCTTCCGCTTATGTACGAAGCGAGCTGCAGCAGCGGTGATAGCCCTGCGGAACTTACGTTCACCAAGGTGGACGTCAGTTGGTGTGGGGAACGCAGCAAAGGTCTTTTCAGTAAATTCCGCGAAGCCTTTGCATTCAGCTTTAGAAAAGTTGATATAGGTCCAGTGTTCCGCGAAAGCAAAGTCGGTTGGCTTATCGATCGAGATGACTATGGGCAGATGGTCTGAAGCCAAAGACAGCATAGGTCGCCATGATATGCTGCCTATCAGACCAGCGCGGACTATTGTTATGTCTGGCGAGCTGCAGCAGCTGCCCATAATCCTGGTAGTACGTCGTCGTTCATTGTGCAGAATGTCGAATCGTCTATCTGCTCAGCCAAGTCAGTTCCCCTACGATCGTTTGACAGGCTTGAGTGCCAATGATCGTGGTGCGCATTAAATTCACCTACTACCATACGGTTTTCACCTCTGAGGAGTGTACCTATATCAGGGGGATATCCTGCCGGGCAGCAGGTGACACGGGGTACGTACACGTTAAATATTTCGAGCTCAACATCGCCTGACCAGATAGCAATGCCCTGACATTCTAGGGTGGTATCCCTGCGGTCGATGTCTGCTTCGATAAGACGATACTGGACGGTGTGGTGCGTGATGAACGCTAAGCCCCCACCATTATCTCGCTCGCGATCTCGACGGTGCACATTGTACCCGGAACAATTCAACAATGTTGAATTGCAGTGCAACTTCGTCTCTTGGACCGCAGCTATCAATATAGCATGCCTTCCTATGAAGACGGTTATCTCCTCGATCTTGCTCTGAAGCCCGTTACAGTTAAATTGAAGGAGCTTCATGTGCTTCGGGAGACGTGTGGTGATGCGGNGGTCTTCAGATGCTCTTCCCACTTCTTCCGCTTATGTACGAAGCGAGCTGCAGCAGCGGTGATAGCCCTGCGGAACTTACGTTCACCAAGGTGGACGTCAGTTGGTGTGGGGAACGCAGCAAAGGTCTTTTCAGTAAATTCCGCGAAGCCTTTGCATTCAGCTTTAGAAAAGTTGATATAGGTCCAGTGTTCCGCGAAAGCAAAGTCGGTTGGCTTATCGATCGAGATGACTATGGGCAGATGGTCTGAAGCCAAAGACAGCATAGGTCGCCATGATATGCTGCCTATCAGACCAGCGCGGACTATTGTTATGTCTGGCGAGCTGCAGCAGCTGCCCATAATCCTGGTAGTACGTCGTCGTTCATTGTGCAGAATGTCGAATCGTCTATCTGCTCAGCCAAGTCAGTTCCCCTACGATCGTTTGACAGGCTTGAGTGCCAATGATCGTGGTGCGCATTAAATTCACCTACTACCATACGGTTTTCACCTCTGAGGAGTGTACCTATATCAGGGGGATATCCTGCCGGGCAGCAGGTGACACGGGGTACGTACACGTTAAATATTTCGAGCTCAACATCGCCTGACCAGATAGCAATGCCCTGACATTCTAGGGTGGTATCCCTGCGGTCGATGTCTGCTTCGATAAGACGATACTGGACGGTGTGGTGCGTGATGAACGCTAAGCCCCCACCATTATCTCGCTCGCGATCTCGACGGTGCACATTGTACCCGGAACAATTCAACAATGTTGAATTGCAGTGCAACTTCGTCTCTTGGACCGCAGCTATCAATATAGCATGCCTTCCTATGAAGACGGTTATCTCCTCGATCTTGCTCTGAAGCCCGTTACAGTTAAATTGAAGGAGCTTCATGTGCTTCGGGAGACGTGTGGTGATGCGGCGTGTGAGAGATGTGTGTGGCCGTGACGCCATTGGCTGTGTGCGCTGCTGAGGTGGTTGCCGCCCTGCGGTGGGGTGGGTGGCGTCGCAGTTGAGATCTGCGACCGAGTTCCTCGTCCAATCTCGGGTGGTACGCAGACCTGAACATGCCATAAAGTGGCACCAGCCAAGGCATGTGTTGCACTTGACTGATGTCACATTACGGAATATCCTGGTCTGATATACCGTGCAGATTGTAGGAGGAACCAGGAGTTGTTGGCGGCGGCGTGTGGGTAGTGGTGCCGTTGTGTGTGTTCTGTGGTCTGTCGTGGGTATGATGTGGTCTATTGTGTTGTTATGTTGTTGTGCTGTGGTGTTTGTGTGGGGCTGCTCAGGTGGACTGGGGTTAGGCGTGGAGGCTGCTCTGTTTGAGCAGCAGGGGGCCACATACGACGTGGTCCACTGCCGATGTGTCCGTAATCCTGAGCAGACTCTCAGGTGCCTCCACCCCTCGCAAGCATTGCACTTGACTGAGGTGGAGTTGTGGTGTGGTCGTCTCTGTCATACACAGCAGGTGTAGGTTTCTGGCCCTGGGTTTGACTCGATGAGCAGAAGAATACGTAGCATGGAGGAATAACTTCTGAGATACTTCGCTGACCTAAACGGAGTTAGATCGCCGAAACAACAGCCCTTGGTCGGGTAAACCCGAGTCATTCCAGTACGTAGAACCGACTGTCGTGAGAATGATGCCGAGATAGTATTTTGTACTGTTATCTTGTCTTGGTTTTTATTAAGTAATTCGCTTGCAATTATCGAACTGTATCCTTTTCGTAGTAAGCTTGCAGCTATATCTGCGTCGGATTGCGATTTTATAAAGAGAATTTCTTGAATTTACGGAAGTTTACGATATTTCAAATCGCACATAAAATAAAAGAGAAAGGAAGTTTGAATGAGTTAAAAAAAGGTTTTTTTTTTTTTTGAATGAACAGTACCGAAACCTTATTCTTCGTAGCAATCGATAGTTTCAACGACTGTTTTTTTTAACTATCGATTGAATAATATTGCCCGAGCAATCGATACTATCGATGGGCTATCGATGTTTAGCCAACACTAGAAGGAATAGTGGTGAGCAGAAGAAAAAATAGTAGTTCTTTGTTTCGTCATCGGTTTTTCGCAATTTTTTAATGTTAAACTTGTATATTTGTGCTGAAAAATATCAAATATCGATAGTAAAATATTTAAATAATTATAATTCATTGAATACTTATTCGAAAAACATGAACATAGGATGAAAAGAACCATTTTGTAAGTGCACCAATTGGGCTACAGAAAAAGTGGAAAAGGAAGAAAAAAACTTCCATTGCACTTGGAGAAGACAAAAGAAAAGAAGCAGGAAAAAGCAAATGAAATAAAACATTGAAATTGAGGTGATCGAATATAATAAATATGTATGCGTATAAGTAGAAATAGTGCTCGAGGAGGGGCTAGCTATGCAGAAGTAGTAAATAACAGGAAGTAAAAAAAGTAGAAATCGTATTGGAGCCGTTGTTAAATGTGAAAAATTTTTATGCTGTGACAGCGAAGAAAAGATTGCTTGCTTGTAAGCATATACATATTTAATAATGAGTATTGCCTCTGCATATGCTTGTAAGTGTAGCTGTGATGCTTTAAAATAGCCAGCTGCAGGCCAACGTAAACAACTATCAATTAATTATAGTGTCAAGAACTTCACTCGTATGCTAAAAATTTTTGAAGATGTGAAATAAAAACCAAAATATGAAATTGCAGCATATGCATGCCTGCATTTGTACTTGTGTATGTATGGCTGTATGTAAGTGCTTATAAGATAAACACTTGATGTTCTGGTGAAAGTGTAAATTAGGTAAAGCGCATATTTAGTTTTTTTTTGTTTATAAAAAATGAAAGTTCGTCGTTAAAGGCGCATACCTATCGTACGTAATCAATAAAATCCGTACTTTTTAAGATATATACATATTTTACTTTTTGTAGCTACATCCTTTTGTTCAGCATATCGTCGTTTAAAGTACACAACCGCGTATCGTCATTCTGCAAAACCGCGTAACTGGCATTAGCTGCCAAAAATTGGATTTGCTTACACAAGCTCTTGGCTCAATCCTTATCCATTCGTCTGAAATATACTGGTCAGATATGCGATTGCTTTATAAAAAAGAAAACCATTTGCATTTTGTAAATACGCGGTTTTGTACTTTAAACGACGATATGTATTTCTATTTAGTTACATACAGTCAGCGTCAAAAATATGAATACCCTGACGTTTTTTCATTTATATTTTCCATTCCAAATTTTTCTTAATTTTTTTTTTTATATAAAAATATAGTTAGTTAAACAGCAAAATTGTCATCAAAATTTTCAACTTTTCAATTACATTTCTTAGAAAATTTATGGGTATGCAGTTTTGTAGCCCATTAAATTTTAGTATAATGAGGTGCAAGTTAGGTTTGCCGGTTTATATAAAACCAACGCCAGGTTATGCCTCTGCTTTCAAAATATATATCTTAGTATGTTATTTTCCAAATGCTGTGTCCAAACGTCGCTCCACTGAATCGAATGAAATCAAATTGAAAAGTTGACAATTTTTTAGTATTTCTTGAATTTTCCCCGAGTTCTATATGAATCTCACAAACATTTATTCTGCCGGTTTTTGATCTAGGATGAACTATATTTTTATAAAAAAAAAGTCGGCCTGGAAAATAAAAATAAAGAAAATCACCAAAATGTCAGGGTATTCATATTTTTGACGCTGACTGTATATGCCTAGGTATAAATGTACATACACATTTTCTTTCATTGCATAGATTAAGGGATAGTATCCTATATACATAGGTACGTATGTACATATGTACATATTAAAAATTAATGCGTAGCATTCATGCTTCGATTCCGAATGGTAGATATCCAATATAGCAAATCTCGGTACTGAAAAAGTATTAAGGTCCGTACTTACAAAGTTCCTTCCTACATACCTACTTGTAAAACATTTGGTTGAATCAAATTCCTCGTTTAACAATAAAAATAATTCACAATTTACATTTTTGGGGATGTGTTAAGTCTAACAACTAAACTCCCCAAAATTGCCAAATATATGTATGTAAATAAATAAATAAATATGTATGTACTCCAGTCAAAGAATTATATGTGCAATATTTCAACTTCAACTAGTCAAATGAAAAACTAATAAGAGATCTTTGAAAGAATATAAAACACATTATATCTATGTAAATAGCATTTGTTTATAACAAGATAACTTAATTGTACCATTACGTAAATATTTTTATTTATACGTTCCTTCAATCTTCGTGGTACACGAAGATAATACTAAGACTGAAAAATCAGCGGAATAATGCGCATAAAAAATTTAGAGAAACTCGTTCTATCGAAAATAGAAAAAAGTTTTTCCAGTGTAGAAAAGAATATGAATGCTTATAAAAATTTGTATACGACAAATATACTAATTCCCTAGAGACTAATATTAAACTTAACCCTAAATCACTTTCGTCATTTTTTAACTCAAAATGAAAAGTTAATGGCATGCCGAAATCCATGACATTTAAGGACTCCGTCGCTTCCGCAACACAAGAATCTTGTGAACTTTTCGCTTATTTCTTTGGGTCGGTATTTGACAGATTTAATGCTGTTCTCGAATCGCTTGTAGATTTAGATGTTTCAAAAGGAGCATGATATGACCTTCTGTCGCCTTTGCTTCTAGGGAATTGTGCAGGCTCTCTTTATATGCCCCTTACTAAAATTTACAGTAAATCCCTTGAAAATGGTTTCTTGTTCCTTAACGAGTGGAAACTTTATTTATCTCCTCATTTTATAAGTCGGGCCTACGAAATTTAGTTGAAAAATATCGCCCCATTGTAAAACTCTCTTATCATTCCAAAGCTGCTGGATAAAATTGTAAACAACCAGCTCTTTGGGCCATTTAAGCATTAGCACGGTTTTTACCCGGGCAGATCCACTAATACAAATCTCGCCATATTCGTAAATTTCGTGGTTAAAATGGCTTTAGTCTTACCTAAAAGACAGAAAATTGGTGATAAAAATTGGCAACAACATCTCTAAATCTATAACATTCACATCAGGGGCTCGGCAGGGAAGTCATTTGGGCCCCTTGCTTTTTTCAATATTTATAAATGACATCAAAACTTTGAAATTTTGCAGCTGTTTGATGTACGCCGACTATTTGAAACTATACTATCGAGTAAAGAACTTAGACGACTGTGTTAGACTACAGCAAGACATATCATCGCTGATAAATTGGGGTATTTGCAAAGTGCAACATTATTACATGTTGTTGTAAAAATGCTAGTATAATGTACAATTACACTTTTAACGACTGTGAGCGCTTTAATAGTCAGGAAATTAGGTGTGTACTTAGAATCGAAACTAAACTTCGATTTTCACAGAGAACATGAGTTGTTGTTGTTGTTGTAGCAGCATACAAATTCCCCAAAGACTTTTTGGGGAGTGTTGCTGGAGTGACAGTCCTTGGCCAGATATAAATCTGGGTCGTTCCGGTTACGTAGACCCGACTGTCGTGGGAACGAGAGAATATGAGTCTGTGCGGCTACCTCTAAATTGGGTTTTCACAAACGAAACTCAAAGCACTTTTTAGATCCTCTCACACTTAAAAAGTCTTTACATATGACGTGTGTCAAGTTAGCACTACACTTTTCGAATTTGGAAAAGTTAACTACGGCATTAATTGTAGTGTTTTTGTTGTAAATTTGTTGTGGAAAGAAAAATTTTGTAGCTCTCGTTTTTTAAGAAAAAATGGTATGTAGTGCTAACTTGACACCATACACCTAGTCGATAGAATTGAGATATTGAAAATGTTATAACGGCATTAATTGTAGCTTTTA